ACATTCATAATTATATCTATGTTTTCTTAATACTGACAAGGTCAGTTCTATATCCTTTTGCAGTTGCATCATTTGTTATCTAGTACACATGTGCTGTCTGAAAGAGGATCAGTGTATCCATCCAGACCCTTTTCCGGTGCATGCCCAGCTGTACAACAGGGTGTTATATGAATTTCATTTTATATTAGAATGTAATGTATACGCTGAATTGAGATATTGTTTTATCCCGTCCTATTACGGGAGACGCCCGAATATGCAAAAATTATTGGAACTGTTAAATACAGATAAAGAAAAATTAACTCGTAATCTTGCAAATTTTGTATCTAGTGCTTTTCAGATTAGGTGGGAAATTATATATCGTTTGTAAGCAGATTTACAAAGTTATGTAGCTTTAAAGTTATTCATAGTAAGTATAAAAGTATTTTGTAATAAACTATGCTTCTTGATATGTGTATGTTTCTTGTTATGTGTATGTTTCTTGATATGTGTATGTTTCTTGATATGTGTATGTTTCTTGATTTGTGTATGTTTCTTGAGGTACAATTGATAAAATGTTAATGTATTAAAGATACACTAAGAATTTAAAGTGATATAAATTCCATAAGTTGACTTAGTGTTTTCGTATTGACAAGGTCAACTTTATAATACATGTTAGGTACTGTATCTTACTTATACACAATCATTCTTTTGCTTTATATATTGATTGTACCTGGATTGATATTAAATGTTTAAATAAACTTATATTTCAATGTGAATGTAAATGTAATATGTTGATCTTGCGTTTCGTTTCGACAAGATGAAGATATTTTTATACCCCCAAAAAAAGTTTGGGGGGGGGGGTATATAGGAGTCACCCGGTGGTCGGTCGGTCGGTCGGTCGAGTGGGGGGGTATATAGGAGTCACCCGGTGGTCGGTCGGTCGGTCGAGTGGTCGGTCGGTCGGTCGGTCGGTCCAGACGTCCGTTGCATTTTCCTTGTCCGGAGCATAACTTGAAGACTAATGGTTGAAATTCAATATAACTACAAACAATGGTCAAGCACATTGAGTGGAAGTGCAGTGCACAAGAACCATAACTCTATCTTGACTAATTACAGAGTCATTGCCCTTTGTTACTTTTCCTTGTCTGGGGCATAACTTGAAAACTACTGGTTGGAATTCAAAACAACTTCATACAATTGTCAAACACTATAAGGGGAAGTGCAGTGTACAAGCACCATAACTCTATCTAAAGTAATTACAGAGTAATTGGCCTTTGTTGCTTTTCCATTGCTTTTATTTGTCCGGACCATAACTTGAAGACTAATAGTTTGAATTCAATATAACTACATACAATTGTCAAACACAATAAGGGGAAGTGCAGTGCACAAGAACCATAACTAAATCTAAAGTAATTACAGAGTAATTGCCCTTTGTTACTATTCCATTGATTTTTTTGTCCGGACCATAACTTGAAGACTAATGGTTGAAATTCAATATAACTACATACAATGGTCAAGCACATTGAGAGAAAGTGCAGTGCATAAGAAACATAACTGTATCTTGACTAATTACAGAGTTATTGCCCTTTGTTACTTTTCCTTGTCCGGGGCATAACTTGAAAACTACTGGTTGGAATTCAAAACAACTTCATACAATTGTCAAACACAACAAGGGGAAGTGCAGTGCACAAGAACCATAACTCTATCTAAGTAATTACAGTGTAATTGCCCTTTGTTACTTTTCCATTGCCTTTTTTGTCCGGACCATAACTTGAAGAATCTTGGTTGGAATTCAATTAATTAACTTCATACAATGGTCAAGCGCATTGAGAGAAAGTGCAGTGCACAAGAACCATAACTCCATCTTGACTAATTACAGAGTTATTGCCCTTTGTTACTTTTCCTTGTCCAGAGCATAACTTGAAAAATACTGTTTGGAATTCAATACAACTTCATACAGTTGTCAAGAACATTAAAAGGAAGTGCAGTGCACAAGAGCCATAACTCCATTTTGACAAAATACAGAGTTACTGCCCTTTGATACTTTTCCTTGTCAGGAGCATAACTTAAAACGTACTGGTTGGAATTTAAAACAACTTCATACAATGGTCAAGCACAATAAGAGGAAGTGCAGTGCACAATATCTATAACTCTGTCTTCAGTTTTATAGAGTTAATGCCCTTTGTTCCTTTTCTTTGTCTTTCTGGACTTATTACAGAGTAATTCAATTAAACTTCATCAATGGCCAACCACATTGAAAGGAAATACATATAAGAACCACAACTATCTTTAATTGCCCACAACCATAACTCTATATTTCATTTTTTTACAAGGTATTCTGTTACTGGTAACATCCTCATTTCTGAAGCAGTCTTGTGGGGGTATTAATCACATTTAGTGATAGTTCTAGTTATTGTAGTCAAGAATCCGTCACGTTATTTATTTTGTCACTTATTTAACTCTCTCTGAGAGTTAAGTTTACAGTATAGATGCAGTTGCGAATACTCATAGTAGATATTTTTTCACGTAATGGGTGGAGTTGATATGCTATATAGTGCATGTCATTATCAGATGCATTTATAATTAAGCCTAAATGTGCTTATAGAATAGAATTTCGGTTTTCATTTTATTTCGATGTGGAATTTCACAGGGGTATATGTAAAAATGTCCTCGGATATAACGGCATTAACATTATATGCGGTACAACATCACATAAGTTTTATTGAAAGAAGCGTAGATATCTTGTTCTAAAAATAACTGAAACAAATTTTCATTGTAAAATTAAATTAATACCCAAGTGGAATTCGGTAACAATATCTTATGTCATATACTAATTACGTAGACATTTAATTATTTGTAAACCTTCTCCGCTGTTTAAATTGTTTTGTTCATTTATGCTATATATTGTCTTGCCATATATAATGCATTGTATATCCTCATGGGCTATATAGCCTTATGGAATATTGCAAATAAACTTAAACTTAAACTTATGACACATGGTTAAGGTCGTTGACTTCAAACCACTTGCTCCTCACCGCTGCGGGTTCAAGCCCTACAAATGACATTTGATTCTTCCATGTAAGGAAGCTATACAGCTAGTCGTCATATTGTCTTATAAAATGTTGTTGTGACATAATATCCGACCAATAAATAATAATTATAATATTATTAATAATAATAATAATAATAATAATAATAATAAAGATAATAAAAAGTTTTTTGTATGTTTTTGTTGTTGTTGTTTTTGTTATTTTTTCCCATTTACACTCAAACTAAAATTGGTCCATAATAACATACATGTAATAAGATTATTTGCACTGTATTAGTTAAACAAGCAATTAAACATTCTGGTCTGCATAGCTTCATTTGCACACATCTAAATACAAAAGAACAAATTAGGAAAAAGAGTTTCTAAACAAAAATGAATCTGTATGGTGCACATCCAGAACGATTAAATCCCTCGAGATAAATACATATATTATAGATGACAACTGATACGGTTTAATTTAATTTATTCATGAGATGTTATACACACTTCGGTAACTTTTGTTAATGTTTCACAAGGTGGGGCATTTGCTCGTTTATCATTTTCATCTCACAGAATGCATAACAGTCCGAATGAAATGTGTTAACTAATAACACTGAAATTAACACTATAAATTTACCTGTATCTTATGTTTAAATTAAACATAAAATTTTCATTTTAATCAAAACTACAAATTAAAACAATTATCTTGACATGTAATCAAAATGAAATATTCATTTTGTATACTAAATATTCATCTGCTCAATCCAATAAAATAAATTGTTTACCACATTTTTTTTCTTGGTTATTCATCATAGAGGTTTCATTTTGTTGTAAACTCTTTTTACTGGTCGTTTAATGCTTGGTCGTACATTTACAGAAAAGGAGATACATATTGTTGTAGATTTGGCGCGACGTCACGTAACGTCGCTTTTGCGCGAATTGTTTACTTATGTTTTTAACGTAACGTCATTTCCTATGTATGTAAACATTCAGTTTGAGTAAAGGAAACGAACCGTACACAACGCTTAGTTTTACTCACGATCACGTCCTCACATTTTATGGTGCCGTGAACCGAAACCGCCATGAATCTTCATAAACTACAAGCAGAGAGAGAGGGCCACAGAGCTACTATAGCAGAACATTTGCAGGAAATCGAAGATGCAATTAGAGAAAATAATATAGAAGATGTTCAACTTCTCATCGAAAACATTATGCTTTCTTTGGCGAGTACTGATGCAGACATTTAAAACAAGATTGATACAGAAAATACAGCAGTAGAGGTGAAGGAAACCGCTATGTACAACATTCGTGTAAAACGTCAACTACAGAAATATAAGAAATTCCAGGTTTTATCAGATTCCGTAAGAGACGTAGACAGAGACAATATCAACCTCACGTCACGAACAGAACCATCATCCAGCAATCACGGCGAGCAGATGGACTACATTAGAGACAGAAACTGCATACCGCTGTCTAATTCATTTCATCACAAGTTGCCAACAATTTCTATGCCGACATTTAGTGGTGATCTCTTGACGTATCAGACATTTTGGGACTCATCAGTGCACAACAATCCCAGTTTAACAGACGTGCAGAAATTCAGTTACCTGAAGTCATTACTAGAGGGAGATGCTGCAAGAACTATTGACGGGTTCGCGTTAACGAATGCAAACTACAGTCAGGCATTGTGTTTATTAAAAGAGCGCTACGGACAGAAACAAAAAATCACCTCCGCATATATGCAGAGATTGTTGAAGTTACCAACGCCAGCAGACGATATTAGAGAATTACGTCAATTTTACGATATGCTTGAGACAAACATCCGGGGTTTAGAATCATTAGGTGAACTACAAGATACATATGGCAATCTATTAATCCCAATAATCCTTGAAAGACTACCACCGGAAACCAGACGTCATTTAGCTAGGGAACATGGTACCGAAGTTGGACGCTTCCAGACTTACGCAAATCACTAAACAGAGAGATTGAAATTATGGAAGCGGGAGAGTCACAGAACACTAAACAGGAAATATTGATACCAACAGCATCATTTTATACCGCCGCACGAAATAGAGGAAACCGGAAGTCATTATACCGGACTGAGCATTCAAAGAAAAAGTGCGTTTACTGTGATGAAATACATATGGGAGACTGTAAGAAAGTAATTGATGTTAAATCGCGCATTCAAATCATAAAGTTAAAACATTTGTGTTTTAACTGCCTGAGTAAAGGTCACCAAGTGTCTGGATGTCCGTCCAAGTCGCGTTGTCGCCAGTGTCATGGTAAACATCATACTAGTACATGCAGCCATTCCCAATCGACATTTCCCCAGAACTACACAAATAAGCATGTCATAGGAAATCATGAAACACAACAGTCTGAGGTAACCGGAAGTTATAGAAACTGGAGTACTAATATTGAAGCCGGTGATACAACTATATTATTTTCAAAAACCCACCACTCAGATGTTTTATTAAAAACTGCGACAGCCCCTGTTTGTGCTAATGGACGATATGCAGAAGCAAATGTTCTTATGGACGAAGGAGCCCAAAGATCTTTTATCACCCAAAAGTTAGCCGATAAACTTCAATTGAATATTGATGGAACAGATATTATACATTTATCAGCGTTCGGCGACCCAGCGCACAGCGTTCAACATCTTAATACGGCAACTATAAATTTAGTAGCAGACGACGGAATGTTAATCCCAATCCGAGTATTGATTGTTCCCGTGATAGCAAAGCCCATCAATAATGTATATCGCAACTCCATCAAACACTTGAAATATCTACAAGGACTCAAACTTGCTCACCCTGTTACCATGGATACCACATTCGATATATCACTATTAATTGGTGCTGATTTTTACTGGCAGATAGTTGGCGACAAAATTATTAGAGATGATGGACCCACTGCTGTAAGTTCCCGCATTGGTTACTTCTTATCCGGCCCACTCCATGTAGAGAGTAGTTATCCACCTTCCAATGTTATGGAAGTCATAGCAACCCACGTATCTGAAACGACAGACCTCACTCGATTTTGGGATATAGAATCAATGGGTGTTTCAAAAGGAGACTGTGAAGATACCGATGCCTCTTCTTATCGACAACATTACCAGAAATCGTGTATTTCATTCTCAGACGGAAATTACACAGCGAAGTTGCCATGGAAACAGAATCATCAACCCCTCCCTTCAAACTATAACATTACGAAGAAAAGAACAGAATGTACAATAAAACGCCTAAGTCAGAAGCCCCAAATGTTGAAGAAATATAACGATATTATAAAGGAACAAGAAAATAGAGGTTTCATTGAAAGAGTAGACGAAAGTTCCAAAAAACGCGTGCATTATATACCACATCATGGAGTTGAAAAGAATTCCACAACAACGCCCATACGAATAGTCTATGACTGTAGTTGCCGCCAATCAGAAAGAAGTCCAAGTTTAAACGTTTGCCTTGAATCCACACCTCCAGACCTGAATGATCTAACCACCCTTCTGTTAAGATTTCGGCTTGGTAGATATGCAGTATCAACTGACATAGAGAAAGCCTTTCTACATGTCGGTCTACACGAAGATGACAGAGATGTTACCAGATTTCTATAGTTATCTGACCCTACAGATCCCAAAAGCCATCTTGTGACATACAGATTTCGAGTTGTCCTTTTTGGAGCCACATGTTCCCCATTTATTCTCAATGCTACATTACTAAAACACATGACCCTGAATGCAAGTAACCCTGCCGCTAATATAATTACCAGAGACCTGTATGTCGACAATGTAATTTCAAGTTTACAACAAGAACAGGATCTTCTTACCTATTTCCGGTACACGCGTGCTCTCATGTCCGAAGCAGGATTCAATCTGCGTTCGTGGACTTCAAACTCCAGTAAATTATGTAAACTCGCACTAGCTGAAAAAGTCTTGGACAAGGATAAAGTTGTCAAGGTATTAGGAATGTTATGGGACCCGGATAATGACGAGATGTCGTTTGTACAGCGCACGATAGTAAACTCTGAGAGAACAACCAAACGTTCTATTCTCAAACAGACTTCAAAATTATATGACCCTCTGGGATTGCTTAGCCCAGTAACTGTACGCGCCAAATTACTAGTTCAAGACCTATGGAAGAAGAAATTTGATTGGGACACACCACTTCCGGTTGATATCATTAACACCTGGGCTGATTTGAGCATCGACCTGAACAGCGTAATTCAGAGACCATATTTTCCCACCACTGAAAATACAGCAAATTCCGCCGATTTTAATTTACACGTGTTTGTTGATGCAAGTGCACGTGCTTATGGAGCTGTAGCGTATCTTACTTCCGGTCATACATCTACCCTTGTATTTGCAAAGAATAGAGTCGCACCTGTCAAAGAGATAACTTTACCCAGACTAGAACTAATGGCAGCACTCATCGGTGCACGTGTAACCCACCACGTGTCAAATGCATTCACGTGCAAGAAAATCACATGTTGGTCCGACAGTCAAATAGTGTTAAGTTGGCTGAAATCTACAAAGACACTTAAACGCTTCATTTTGAACAGAGTAGAAGAAATCAAGAAACTTACCGCCAATATTGAATGGCGATATTGCCCAACAGATCAAAATCCCGCTGATTTACAAACCAGAGGTCTAACTGCGACCCAGTTACAATCAAGCACATTATGGAAAAATGGACCTACTTGGTTAATTCACAACAATAAATGGCCTACTTTGGAACAAACCAGGGCAATCACTTTCACTACGTTGACGGATCAACATTCAAAGGAAGAAATTATATCTGACAAGAGAGGTAACTCTGGTTTACGTCAAATTCTAGAGTTAAACAGATATAGCAGCTTTCACAAGTTATTACGTGTTACGGCATACGTTATACGTTTCATTAAAAACTGCAGAGTGACGTATAATTATCGCCGAAGTGGTCCATTATCTACAGAAGAGCTGAGATTAGCAGAAGGAAAACTGATTGAAACTTGCCAACAACAATATTTCCCAGACGTAATACAAGATCTAAAATCCCAGAAAAAACGCAGTCCAATAATTCGACAGCTAAGACTTTATTTAGACAATGACGGTTGTATTCGTTGTGGCGGAAGAATACATAACGCACAGTTGCCAGAAACAACAAGATTCCCGTTCCTTATGTCCCCAAAAAGTCATGTCAACAGACTGATAATAGAAGACGCTCATTACAATCAGTTACATGCAGGTGTCGCCCATACTGGTACCCATCTACGCCAGAAATACTGGATACCGTCAATCAGACAGCACGTGAAAAGTGTTCTCCGAAGATGAGTCATTTGAAGAAAAGTTACAGGAAGACCCTATACCGCCCCAGATCCTCCACCACTTCCGGTTTCCAGAGTAATCGTCGAACCACCCTTCTCCGTAACAGGTGTCGATTTCACAGGGGCACTTTACATTAAAGAAAAGCAAGTTCAGCAGAAGGTATACATATGTCTATTCACGTGTGCCAAAACCCGTGCTGTTAACCAAGAAATAGTTCCAGACCTTACAGAAGAATCATTTATGTTAGCCTTCAGACGATTCATCAGCAGACGACCATTACCAAGACTGATGATATCTGATAATGGTACCACCTTTCATGCAGCAGCCAATCAAATCCGGGTACTCTATAATTCGCAAAATCTTCATACTGCCCTTACACAAAGAGGAACACACTGGCAGTTCATTCCAAAAAGAGCACCTTTGTATGGTGGAATGTGGGATCGACTAATTGGTGTAATGAAAACAGCGATTACGAAAGTTCTCGGCAAAGCTTCCATTAATTTGCAAACGCTGCAGACGATAGTTACCGAAGAAGAGGCAATGATGAACGATCGACCAATTACCTACGTTTCATCTGCTAGAGATGATCCTGAGCCTCTCACCCCTTCACACTTACTACATGGACGCAGACTGACAACTCTACCATACTACGATACTGTGGTAACCAACGATACTCCCGGTTACCATAGCAAAGGTGACGATGTTCGACAACGTGCTAAACGACGTGAGGAGTTAATAAATCACTACTGGCACCGCTGGAAACACGAGTATCTGACGTCATTAAGAGAATACCAACGGTCGAGTGGTACCACAAACCAGACTATTCAGGTTGGTGACGTTGTTATTGTCCAAGACGACTTGACAACCAGGCTACAGTGGAGCCTTGCGGTAGTTGATGAACTTTTAACGGGAAATGACGGGTTTTCGAGGGACGCGAGGATACGTACATCCGGAGGGCTTACTACACGACCGATTATCAAATTGTACCCATTGGAAATTATCTAGAAACCAGATGAATAGACATTACGATACTGATTGAAATATTTATCCTTTACCGCTAATATTTCGTGAAAAGACAATTCAATTTGTATAATCATAGAAGAGTGAAAATAATTCAAAACAGAGACTTTACATAGCGCCAATCTGTTTGTGATATATCTAAATATAGCTGTTTTAATTAGGGTGCTCAATTTCAATATGATTTTAAATAAGTAATTTCATTACTTTATGTTTTTTTGTATGACAATTATTACATTTAGCATTTCTGAGGCCCGGAGAATGTTGTAGATTTGGCGCGACGTCACGTAACGTCGCTTTTACGCGAATTGTTTACTTATGTTTTTAACGTAACGTCATTTCCTATGTATGTAAACATTCAGTTTGAATAAAGGAAACGAACCGTACACAACGCTTAGTTTTACTCACGATCACGTCCTCACATTTTATGGTGCCGTGAATATATAAATAAATATTGATAAGTAATTTATAAAGGTATTGTTATCCCCGTGCTGTTTAAATTAAATTTATTCATGAAATGTAATATAACCGCAGGACCGTGTGATTATCTTTCGAAGTATATGCAATTGCTCGTTTTTCATTTTGATCCCGCAATGAATGCCTTATAGCTTTTAAATAAAATGAAATTTTCGTTATGCAATTACCTTTATTTCATGTATAAAACGTAACATAAACCATATACAAGCAAACGAACAAGTTGTCTTTCAAATAATCAAAGTGAAACATTGAAATATGTGTCACTAAATATCTGGGCGTTCAATAAGTTACATCTTTTAATAATGTAATAGTTTATACACTGCTCTTTACTTAGGGATAGCAAAGTCCTCGTTCAATCCTAAATTCATGTACATGTACTTGAACATCGTTTTGGTTTGCAAACAAACATATAAATGATTAAGATGCCATATCATAAGAATCAATTTTGAAAGATCATTGATAAATTATCTTAACGGGAATAATTTGTAAAATGTCGTCAATAACTTTAAGGATAGTTTGCTACCATAAATGAACTAGACAAATGAACCAACAGTTGTGTCTCTACAGATTTGGATTTTATTGAGTAGACATCGATTTCAGTTACAAGATTATTAGATATGAACATCAAAGTTATACCTTGAAAGGCTAAAACATTGTAGCATTTAATTAGATAAAACTTACATTTACCAGACGGCTGTAACAGAATCCATTCATAATAAATGCAAAGTGTTAGAGTCAAATGTAATTCATCTGGGTTTTATGTCGCACCAACACAGTGAAGGTCATATTCAACTGGTGAACTCATGTGCCCATTCACCGACGTTCCGTAAGCTAGCTAGATAGCTTCATCACATGAAAAATCAAATCCTTAATTGGGAATTGAACCTATAGCGGCGTGACCAGGTGTTGTTTTTTTGTTCACCGCAAGTAATCGACTGTTAAATGTACACAACTTTCTGAATAAGCACTGAGAAAAAATATTCTTAGACTTAATGTCCGAGATCAATCGCCACTAAAAAGTCGCGCCTTGCCGGCGTGTCGAACCTGTGATAGTTGGATAACATAATTTATCCTATCCCTATTGAGCTCAGTGGGCGTGTTGTAAAGAGACAGTGTATGCCATCGATGATAAACAAAACATATATAGTACATATATTTAAATTATGATTATTATTTCTTATAATTATTTTTTATATTTTTATTTACTTATTTTTATTCATTTTATTTCTTTTATTTTATTTTTATTATTATTATATTTTCATTTATTTATCTATTTATTTATCTATTTACTTTTCTTCGAGATGCTTATAAGGAATTGTGTTCATAGCCGATAAATCAAATTACAAATCAATATGTGAAATATATCAAAGTGAGAACGAGGATTCACTATTATATATATGACAAATGATGAATGCTCTCACGATATTGTGATTATAACAAACCCATATCTTTAAAACAATCATTGTACTTGTTTTGACATATCACATATTAATTGTTATTGTTCAGCTGTGAAACAGTGGTAAAAGTTAACAATACTTGTCTGGTAGATATTTTAAATTACCACTTTCAAACAGGAAATAATGACGTCAGTTGTTATATTTTCTTTTTTTTTCAAATTGATTGGAAAATGGATAACATTTCAATAAAATGCTCAGGCTATGGCAAGTCAATGTTTACGTAGAATCTCACTTTACAAAGTTGTTTATATCTTGTTCTTCATCTTTGGATTACTGGTGGTGATGAGTTAGCATGTATTCAAGTTATAATCATTTAGCATCATTGATATTGCGTATCATCTTTTGTTATAGGTGATTGAATTAAAGAATTGTTTCAAGCATTTCATTCGCTATGAAATGTTTTATTAATGAAAACAGGAGACTATGTTATATATAAAGCGTAAAATGTTATGGATGTCAGATGGAATTGTGCTGCTTTTTTTAAATATAATTGTAACGAACAGAATATGGACTGAACTTTATAAAAAATAACCCCGCAAAATGTACATGATCTTGTTGTTATATATGTTGAGAATTGTTTGTGCATCAGTTAACTTACATTTGGACAATTTTGAAATAGTGTATTCAATCTCCGCTGTGAATGTTTGCCATAATGAGATAAAAAGATTTCAAGAATTATTTGGATATTCTATTGAACATTGTGTTAAGGCTTGTGCTGCAAGGAAACATTGTTTGGCACTGAACTACAGGAGTAGAATTAATATCTGTGAATTATTCACGACGTTCGACGCTGACCAACTAACAGCTGGGGAATGTATCCTCTTGTCTAAGGAAGACATTGGTGTCATGAAAGTATGGTTTGAAGTTAATATTTCAATTAAAAGTAGTTTATTTGCTTGATTTGGTTTTGCGTCACATCGGAACAGTATATGTCATATGGCGACGTTCGTTCCAGCTTCACTGGTTGAGAAAGACCTAGGAAGCCCATTTGTACATTATTTCAGGCACGAACGGGCACCCAGAGCGGTGAAGGGCAAGCGGACGCCCCAGTTAAAAGTAGTTATCATAAAGTCAACGTTACTGTTTTTAAGTATTTTGTATGGAAGTAAAAAAAACTACCTTTTTACATTTTGCTAGCTTTATGACATATAACTTCACGTTTAATGCTAATTTCTTCATTTGTTAATCGTCCTACATGCTCTAAATTCATTAATAAAACATTTTAAACATATGTTTGACATTTTTGAAAAAAGGCATAATGTGCCTTTAATATGAGTTTACCCGGCGTAAGTGAGTTAATCAAGATCTCAATAAACGGACGTTATTTCGCTGTATTTCAGATGCCATGTCTACATGGATGCAATTTTGGAGAAGTATGTGAACAAAATAAATATGGACATGGAATGTGTGTTATTAAAGGTAATTCCTTATGCACTTATATATATATTGCCAGGTAAAATCTACTGTAAGAACACTTACATAACATCAGTCTTGACATATCGAGTAATAAGCGGCCAAATTTTCTAGCGCGAAAATCCGTATGTAAGATATAGGACGGCTAAGTACCAAAAATACAATATTCCAACATTTGGTATATTTAGAGGAATATTTTAATTACCAAGTCATTTTGCAAATGAAAAAAATCAAAGTTTTCTATGGAAATATACTTTTGCCTAATGTTGAGACATTAAATTTGATCCAAAAGTATTATTCAAAATCTGTAGATGCTAGGTTGCTTAAAACATTTTACAAAATGAAGTTTAATGACTAGCGTTATGAAATTATATAATTTTTAATCGAACGTTAGATCATGATATATCAATCTCGCGTTATTTTAATGTTCTAAATATAAAGATGCATAAGAAACCTTGGCATATCCTTACATAAATTATCTGTTTGTCACTGTGATGTGCTTATATGTCAGAAAAAAAGAAAAACGCCTTGTCTCGGTCTCGAACTTGCGATCACACACTATCAGACAAAGTGACAACGCTTTAGACCAGGGCCAAAGAATCGATAATCTCACCCTCTTGTCAGATAATGCATTTATAAGTATGAACTAGGTGTGCACGCCACCGTAACAACATTGTATTTACTTTTTCTTTAAGATGCCTGTTGCATTGTTCTACCACAATGTTATTGCTGTTTTTGATGCTTCCGAGGGATCACTTTTTACCGGATATTTATACATCACAACAGCAGGTGTCAAGTGCTGTGTTGCAGCCGTAAAAAGCTGCCACGTACTTCACTTCAGTGTTGTTATATTTTTCTGGTCCTTCGGAATCATTGACTCTAGCACTTTTAAGTGTTGAGAATTGAGTACCGCTCAAGCCGGTGCCATGGGACGTGAACAAATGTTGCTCTTTTCATTATCTCTCATGTACAGACTCAATCAAACCGAGTCTACGATTTTCATGCAAATTTGCTGTTTTTGATGCTTCCGAGGGATCACCTTTTACCGGATATTATACATCACAATAGCAGGTGTCAACTGCTGTGTTGCAGCAGTTAAAAGCTGCCACGTACTTCACTTCAGTGTTGTTTAATTTTTCTGGTTCTTCGGGATCACTGACTCCAGCACTTTTAAGTGTTGAGAATTGCGTACCGCTCAAGCCGGTGCTAGGGGGCGTGAGAGATGTTGCACATTTCATTACCTCTCATATACAGACTCAATCAAACCGAGTCCGCGATTTTCATGTAAATTTGCTGTTTTTATGCTTCCGATGGATCACTTTTTTACCAGATATTTTTTCAGCATGTCCCTCCATTGCATTTATTGGTTTAAGCACTTTGATAAAAGCAGACGTTTGTTATTCCGTAGACTTTTATATGCTGACGATGTGAAAAACAATGACGCCTGTTATTGATGAATTATTGAAAATTCAATTAATAGCTTATCAAACTTATTTGACAGACCTTGAAATTGTTTTTTATATTACGTGCTGAACTGTATCCATCCCGGCAAAAATGTAAACAACATGGACGTAACCCCAAAATAACTATCACTCAAGAAAAGCTATAAATTTTCCACAGTGTCAAAGATTTATTTATTCAATATACATACTCTGTTCCGATATTTAGTTCAAAAATATCTTTCGTTTTGCTTTGAAATTATTTGGAAAGCCATGATGTATGTGGGTTTGTATGGAAAAGGACACAAACACTACTTTACGATATTATACCTGTATATATCAGCCTTTAGTCTAGAAATTGTCAAACGTTTTCCAACCTAGAGGTTTACTGCAGGGTTACATATTGCTTGTTATATCAAAGTCATTGCTCATACATTATAATTGCTGCTCTTCCGTGTCAGTATATCGTACATTTCACCACTGATCTTTTCCCTATTAATATGTAACGATCGAATTTCTATTAAGTTTTAATTCGTTCCTATTTTACAAGATATCAAAGTATTATAAAAAAATATTTATTAAACATTTTCAATTGATCAATTGACTCTTAATCATGTATTTACGTATTATGGTAATCATGGGATGATCGGCAAATTGAATTTCAGTTATTGTAAAAGCCTTATAAATCAAATGATATTAGCCATTTAATTACTTGTTGCAACCGAAAGTACATGCAGTACAGTGCCAGGTCAACGTTCCTTGCAGGCTGATGCTCATCCTTTTATTGATTGACCTTAAAAACCCTTAACCTTTTAACGGACTGTTCTATCTTCAGCTGTGGGCAGATCCATTGTACAAATTTAGCAGGTTATACATTATTCATGTTGCAAGCATCGATTTGTCAAGATGTCTAAATGGAACTATTATAAATGATATTTTTTATGTAATATCATGTATTTTTATAATGAATATTATATTATTGTTTATATTATGTAACTCTAAACGGCAGTTTTTATTGAAATTTGTATTGTATTGTTTACCATTTCAACTGTTTTTAGAAAATATGTATAATTTAGACAAATATCTAATACAGATTTACTAAAAGGCAGTTGAAATGGTAAAAAATACAAATACAATGTTTCAATTTAATCAGTGGTAAATATTGTAAACGATTAAATAATAAACATTTATAAACAATTACATAATATAAACAATTATATAATATACATAAGAAAAAAATATTCATAATAAAGACTACTTTCTAAATTTTTATTCAGTTAAAACTCTATCTACTGCAATTCCAAAATATTATTTTAAGAAATTTAAAAAATAATAAATAAGATAACAATCTGAAAGGTATAGAAGTGATAAGGTTCTTACAACTTGTCATTGCTGGACTCTTATGTGACACTTATAGGTAATAGTTAATCTTAAAAGGTCTTGGCTAAAATTAATATAGGGTTAACGCACGTTTTTCGTGTTATAACGTCTGCAGAGTCCCAAGGAACGGTTGGTGCCCGAGCCCGGTAGGGCGATAACAATAGCGCACGACTCCATGGCAAACAGGCCCAATCGTATTTTTCTTGTTTGTTTACTGGACCCTGTTTTGTATTGCGCATAGGTAAAACCGGGCTTTAACAAGGGCGCGTGACTATGTTAACACATGGTTTTCGTCCCGTTATAACATGGGCAACCGAGGGAAAAATAGCCGATTTTATGCTTTAATAAGTAGTAAATCCTGTACAGGGAGCGTGGGATGATAAGTTGGCGGACATGCCAGACTAAATCCAACACAAATATGATAAAAAATGAATTAATTCTTTCAAATTTGATGGACAAGATATCCTGCTTGTATTTCACGGGTTTGAGCAAAAGATCTCAACATTTTATATAACGTCAGCCAAAGTTTTAATATCAAACTTCACTAATCAATTATATCGACCAAAGGAATAAAAGTGTGTTTAAAATAAATTGAATGTTACGAATTTTGTATATTTGTTAACAGTTTTCCCACCTCGATTCAAAAGTTATAACAGACACTGGCATAGCATGATTAAAACACCGAGTGGTTCTATTTGAAATTCGTTGCTGATGCTACAGAATTTATCTGTCTGTGTACGGGATAGCCTTTCAATTTTAGAAAACTTAAAAAAAAACTTCCTGAAAGATATACTTTGTTCAAATTTGATATTAGAAAATATTGATAATTTCTACAGTCTCTTTGTAAATATAAAATAAGCATGTTTCGACTTCACACAAAGTAGATAGGTTATGTTTAAAATTCTAAACACTATAGGTGGTCACAATATGAATATATAGTTTCATTTAAAAAACTGGCAGTTTGTTTTAAAAAAAGATCAATTTCACTTGACCTGTAATAGGGAACGCAGCTTCCCATACATAGTTTCTTCATTCGTTTCCTTCAAATTAGACATATTCTATAAGAATTGAATAAATTTTAATAAATTTCTGTGATAAAAATATCTTACTCAAGGATAAACATTTAATATCTTTAATCTAGCTAAATACTTAGTAAGCACAATAAACTTGATTTATAAAATGATTGAAACAAAACATTATATTCACGCATATTTTAACCTTATGAAATGGTATGAACATTGAAAAAATAGCTTCTTTTATAGTTTTAATTAATATCTTTGTAAATAATTGATATCATTCGATTCAAACGGATTCAAGACTTAAATTGTAATCGACGTTCAGCGAAAGTATTCTCAAATTTCTGTAATGTAATAGGTATTTACATGCGGACACAAATCAGCCTGTTTTATTTATTCTAACTAGGTGTCAAAGTATTGTTTATGAGACAATGACAAAAGCCTTTATGATCAATAACAGCAATAAAGTCAGCTTTGCGTCTCTCTGAATCTTCAGTTACAATATGTAGTTCCATGAATGATCTATGAAATATTCATAAATAGTCCCCAGCACTGCCTTTAAACAATTATCAATTCCTGAATGCCAATTTCAACCGTTTTATAATTAACAATGCGTGAAATGATTTCTTTGACAAGTGACATTGAGACGCATAAAAGTACCGGCATAATTTAGGTTGTTGGATTTAAACAAGTTAAAGTTATAATAGTGAATAGCTTTACAGGCGAGTGATCTGCAAAATGCTTATGCGTCTTTTGTTAAAATTTTATAAAACATTTTAAGACAATAAAGATACAAAAACATAAAAAAACATATCTGGAACAAAAAAAACTACAACCCCCATGCAACTGCTCTACACTCCCCATTACCCACCCCGAAAAATCAAAGAAGAAAAAAAAAATGAAGAATAGGAAAACACGATAGAAAACAAACACATAAAAAACATATTAAATAAAGTATATATGTATGGAATTGATTCAGAACTTTTTCCGATCCTGTTTGGCTTTAAAAATACTATATTCAGGATAATTGTCTTGAGTGTTTTGTTTAAAACATCGTTTTATTCCTTTTTATTATAAATTTAATTGAATCGAATATCATAATTATATGTCAAATTATTTGACACCTTTTCCTGTTACTTTTAAAAGCAAATTTTGTTATAATTACTTTTTTAATATCATTAATTTACACATTGTCAATATATTTCATTGTTTCTCTTAAAATAATTTAGATAATATTTTCACTATAATTTTCTTGTTATCAAAATCAGGAAGCCGGCGATGTGCACTAGACACAAAAATAATTATTAGGTCTGTGTTTGCAGAAACAAACGTAATGTAAAACACTGACAGTAAACTTACCGTCCTCTTTTTTGATTTTTAGAATGTGTTAATGGAACAGTTCCTGAACACGGTACTATTCTCGGTAATCAGATGAAAGTTGGAAAAAAGATCAGATACAAGTGTGATACTGGTTACAACGAGCCAAATGTCTCCTTTACAACAGTTGCTGAATGTTTAGATACTGGTGCATGGAGCTTCAACACCGAATGTTTGAAAAGTATGTTCAAATCAGTACATTTGCGGCCTCATTTCCCGAGTTGTTAACTTTGAATCACTTGTAACACCTATTTTATGTCAGATAGCTAGCTACTCAGCTGGCTTAAGGAAGGTCACTCGTTTGACTTAGCCGTCATCATACTTTATTTAGCAAACTTGATAAAAGAGAAAACAATTAATAGATTACATTTCAATATATCATGTCAAGAATATAAGGCGATTTTAAAATAATTGATTTATCTATGCTGGGTTCGTAAAAAAATGTAATTACTCGTACCTCCATTGATATACAGAAAAGTACTATGCTACTTTACAAAAAAGTAGATACAGGCAAACTTGTGAACAAAGAACGCCCAAGGGAGGGCATTAACTTGTATCTATAGACAAGTATTATTTATTTAGTGGTCATGTTATTTCTTCTTATCAATGAAGGGTTATCGAAAAGTCGCCTTTATTTGCAGGGTAATACATTTTAAAGGTGGTTTATTAAAAACAATAGGCTGCATTTGCCTAACACATAGTATCATACAAATATACGTATCAGTTTAATATAACATTAGATTCATTTTCAATTACACTTACAGCTAATTATACTTGGGATTCATGGACCCATTGGAGCACCTGTAGCTTAAGTTGTGGCTCTGGTATTCAAACCAGATCTAGGAGTTGTTCTATTCGTATAGAAGGAAATGATGAATCACAATGCCACAAGACGGATGTTGGTGACGAGCAGCAAGCCTGCAATGATCAAAACTTGTCCTAGTAAGTAAAAATATTGTTTGTAAAGTCGATAAAACGGGAAACATCACAACGAGGCAAGTTGTGTCTTGTTCATTGTGAACATCCGTCCTATCTCGTATTAGTTGGATAAAAGTAAAGATAATAATTACAATGATTGTTTTGATTATAACTATAATAATTTAATAATTATAGTAAAAATGATGATGATGATAATAATAATAATAATAATAATAATAATAATAATAATAATAGAAATGATAAAAGTAATAATACTAATACTTATAATAATACTACTACTGCTACTGCTACTACTGCTACTGCTACTGCTTCTGCTACTGCTCCTGCTCCTGCTAGTAATGATAATACTTATAACAATGATAATACTAGTGATAATAATTACAACAATGATAATACTATTGATAATAATTACAACATCAATAATAATAATAATAATAATAATAATAATAATAATAATTTTGATAAAAGTAATAATAATAATAATAATAATAGTTATAATAATAATCGAGTAATAATATTGTGAATTATAATGAAGTAATTAATATGATATAATGAAATAAAAAAGATAGTGATAAATAATGAATAATTAAATGAAAAGTCATCTGGCAGAACGTGATATATGTCATCATCATAAATAAATCTAATGTAAAATAAAAGACGTTATACTTCAAGCACAAGGTCAGGGAGTGGGACATGCTGATGCCTAGCCAGACACAATCTCTTTTGAAATCTCGCTTTTGTCTTAAAACATAATAAATATTTGTATCTCAATCTGAGCTAGGTGGGAATCTGTCATTTCTAGGCTTGTCTTTATCCTGTAACAATTATCATCAAAGATATATATAGGAGAATATAGTACAGATGGTAGGAAATATATAGTTGACAATTGTTTCGATACAACACGGAAAAGAATATTATACTTTTCACTGTTTATTGAAATTTATTTTACTGCTCCATAACTTGGCATAGTACCAGAACACTTGGTCAAGTCTGCACAGATAGCACGGACTGTATAGAGGAAGGAGGAGTGTTGCAATTGAAGGAAATGCTGTTTCTGTGACAAGTTGTACAAATATGGATAGCCTACTAAAATAACTGCACTCAAAGGTAAGTAACTGTTTGCTCAGATTGTAGAACCATAACTGTAAGAGCATTGAAATTGTTATAATATCAAAGTCAGAACTCTCGGTTGATAATTTGACAAAAACACGAACTTGTCTTGTGTTTAAACAAAGCATAACTATGTAAATGTGTAGTTTGATATAAATGACAGAGACTGATGTTTAGACACATCAGATAACGTGTGCTGTGTTTACCTTAAAAATAACTACAGGTGATGGTGACCTAACCCTAAACCACGATTTTACATGATTTATATAATTATACAGAGGGTACTTCTATATATAACAAAACAATTACCTTAACTTTCAATAAAAACAGCAGTATTCTATATATTGATATTGGACTTTTTTCAGATTTTTATTTGGTTTGAAATTTCAGTGTGCTCGGATATGATCCGACGAATTTACAAAATATGACAAAAAGGCTATTTTGGATTCAACAGTGGTGGTCCTAATTTGCATTTTAACACAGTAGAAGAATGTAGAGTTTCGTGTTCCAACAACCCTTCTTGCCTTTCCTTCGAAACATGGCCAGCAGACAATGGCGGCATAGGATGCACTACAGGATCAGTAACATCTGATATGATTGAAACAATTAATCCACAACTTTTTCACTATCCACCGTATACAGATCTATATTCGAGGAAATGTATTTAACTGCAAATGATATACGATGGATATCGCAATACTAGTTTATGTAGTTAGTTACACGGATATATGGTGAATATTGCAATACAATTAATTGTAAAATTGCAAAAGGATATATGGTGAATTTTGCAATATTTGTAACTGAAATTATCAACGAAGAATATTAAATTTGCCTTAAATTGAATATACCGTCCACAAAATTGCTGTATAGTTAATCAGACATTTTATTATTAAAAAAAATAATTTACTTATATAATAAATACATCAATGATATTTGAATGCGTCTTATATCCCAAAATTCCAACCGTATAAGAAATTGGTGCAAACTAAAATATTTTTGGTTGCGTTTTACGTCGCAGCAGCAAAATAAAGGTCATATTTCGACTAACAACCTTTAGTGGTGGGAAAAAATCTCAGATACCCTTCTGTGCATCTTATTCAGGCACGAAAGGGCACCTTAGCAGACCAATCGAAGGTTCTGCATGCTACTAGGATATCTTTCTCACATGAAAGAATCCGAAGTTCCTATCAGGATCGAAACAACAGCGGTGAAATGCATGTGGTTTGAAGTTAACGACCTTAACCACTTGACCATAGGCGCCCAAGATATCTGAAGATAAATTGACTTCAATGTATATGAATGTTTATAAAAATCCTACTGAATAATTCGATTTTAATTTTAAATTTCTAAATCACTTTTTATATTAGGCTGTTGGATCATGATTATTTGAACACAATTTATATGACTATATTGTTGTACTAGGTATATGCTAAAATCTTTATTTCCCTTTAAATTAATAATTATGATATCATTATTATGCGAAAAAAAAAATCTGCTCATTTTCGAATCAATACCTAATGTTATGTAAAATATAATCCTCTATTCATCCTCTTATCAATAATTAATGTAGAATTTGAAGTCACAAAGAGTGTTTTAGAGACTGAATCAAACCAAGTGTGCAATTTCCATGTAATTTTGTTGCGATGAATGCTTCCAAGGGATCACATTTTATCCAGATATGTATACATCACAGCAGCTGTGTGGCAGCTGTAAAAAGTTGTTCACTTCAGTTTTGTTATATTTTTCTGATCCTTACGGATCATTGCTAATAAATTATGTTTAAAATATATATGTCCACTTTCGAATAAAAATATTATTTTATAAAATATGCATGTACATATTTTGTTCATGCAATAATCAAGTTGTTTTTTGTTTTATTTTCTTCCATATATTTCAAAAGAATATGACATACGACATTTTCTGACTATATATAAAACACCTGCTATACTTAAATCTACATTCACTAAGCACATTCATTCTGATTCCGAATAAAAGAAATTGAAAATTGAATGAGAAAATATATCATATCAATATGCTATGAAACAAAACTTTACCCGACAAAATATATAAAACACTAAAAAAACAAGATATGTTTGTAAAACATGTATGCCCCCTATCAGCAGCCAATTAGTCATGTGATCAGGTTATTATGCATGACTTCTGACCCAGTGAACAAACAATTAATAAGGGTTATCTAGTATCTACTGATCATGACTAGTCACAAGGTAATAATTATTGTGACCCCATAGGTTGTGTGCAGCAATTTAAGTTATTACAAATCTTACCAAATAATATATGCATAAATTTTATGAATCATGTAGGCCTCATTAATGACAGCCAAGTTTTAATATTACATAAGACCTTCAAATGTGTATAACAAAAGCATTTTTAGTTTAATATAAAAATATCAACCAAGGCAACTTAAGTTGTTGAGTTATTGGTCATATGACATTGATCTCTTGACCCTTAAATCAATAGGGGTCATCTACTGGTCATGACCAATAATCATACCAAGTTTGAAGTTCCTAGGCCTAAGCGTTCTTAAATTATTGATCAGAAACCGTTTTTACCTACAAGGTCAATGTTACCTTGACCTTTGACCCCTACACCCCAAAATCAAAAGGGGCCACCTGCTGGTAATGACCAATCGTCATACCAAGTTTGAAGTTTCTAGGCCTAAGCGTTCTTAAGTTATTGATTGGAAACCATTTTCACCTACAAGGCCAATGTGACCTTGACCTTTGACCCCAAAATCAATAGGGGTCATCTGCTGGTCATGACCAATCACCATACCAAGTTTGAAGTTCCTAGGCCTAAGCATATTTAATTCCAATTCAATACTGCAATTATCAACTTTTGTGAATGATAACATTTTAATATTTTATAACCTAATTCTGATAGAAAATGCTCGACAAATGCCAGGACTTTGTTCACCTCAAATATCGATCAGCGGTTTTCATAACGACTTATTTTTCGAAATAAACAATAATTATTGTTAAAAACTTAACATGCATTTATAACAGTCATGGTTATAACTGAAAAACATGAAGGAAATACAAACAGATTAGAACTGTTATTTAAATAACCAAATTTCATATATTCGACAGATCTAAAATGGAAATATTTTCAAGCTTCTAGAAGTTAATTTTAAATGATTATTTTCGAATTTCTTTACGAAACACCTTTTCCATCACATACTAAATTTGCTCAACATATCATTGTTAAACTAAACAGTTTATAAACAAGTTATATAACATACAAGTATTTCAAAAGATCGGAGAAGAACATAACTTATTAGCATATACCTAAGGAACAAGCGAGTGACTTGTAGTAATTAATAGTAAATGAGCCCAAGGCAATCGAGCATATTATACGATTGGCACAAAATATCAAGAAGGTTTGATAGACCATAATGAGCAAATGGTGCACGAAAAGCCCTTTCAAAGCCATGATGCCGAGCAACTAGCATTGATCAAACTGGTATACAGAGTGACCAATAAGATGTTAAGCTGCGGTCTCACTTACTGCCCGGTAGAGCCCAGGATACATCCGGAAGTACGCGGGAATGAATGCCGTGTGACGATCCGGGGTGAACTATTGTTTGCGGACACACGTACCGCCGTCAGGCACTACGGTAGTTCCCAACTATGCCACCCAGGATGCGCTCCGGATCAGTCCAGGCAGAGCCCAGGTGAAGCTACGGTTCAATGCCGGTACGTCCCCTGTAGTTCCGGATGATCCCGCCGGAAGAGACCGCGGTTGAGCCCAGGCAAGAGCCCCGTCCGATCCCAGGCAGTGCCCGCAGCAGAGCCCAGGAAGATCACAGGCAGAGCCCCGGTAGAACCCCGTGATTGAAAAATCGCCGAAAAATGAAATACATTGAACATAATTTAT